TATGTTTCCCTTATTGAAGTTTTCTTGTTCTAAACCTACAGATACATGGGAACTAGATGACTGAGTTTAAGTGTCCTCATTTAAAATAGACATGGTTTCTGCTGAATGCCACTATAATTTCCCCCATTCTTTTTTCTTTGTTATAAAAACTTTTTGCCTCTAGTGGAACAACTGGAATTTGTTCTTTTGAATTTTACCTGTAGATTCTTCCTTGCTTTCTTCATAATTAGATCTTTCTGTTGATGGTGATGAAGCACCATAATTAGGTTCAAGACTCCCTTTTGAGGCTCAAGCACAAGGAATGCTGTGCTGGGTGCTCTGACCGGTTTCATCTTTCCTGAGAGGCTCAGATTTAACAACCATACAATCAAGATTTCACATACCAGAGCAGGCTTCCTCCTTGAAAGTTTTCAGGTGGTTCTTACTTCCACATTGATTCTTCTCACATTATTCTGTGTATCAGCTGTCTGAAGATTCATCTCTCTCTTTCTCCTTGCCTTTCTCGTTCTCTCTTTGCATCTCGTTCCTTTCCAGCACCCCTCTGACTGTGCAGCTCTGTCCCATTTCACCCTGTGCACACTCTCTCTTTCTCTCCCTCCTCCCTCTCATTCCTCTGGACCTTCCCGATGAGTAGTTTTCTTGGCAGATCCACAGATGTCAAATAATTTATTGTGGCATTAAACTGAGACATCAATTGACTGATGCCTACCTTAGTACTATGGTGATTTTATTCATCTTTGGCACCCCTGCCTGCTGTGGAGTCAAAGGCTTTCTTATCCTGCATGCCTGAAGTGGTCACCTTAAAGGTTTAAAACTCTTTTTTTTTTTTTTTCCTAGCACTGTGCAGCCATATTCTCTGCAATGGTCTGCTTATTTTTGGGGCGGAAGGGGGGTTTGGTAGGCTTGCAGGGCAGGAAGAAAAGGGAGTCATGAAGTTGACTTTTCATGTCAAAGGCTTCAGGCAGCCATCTCACACTACCCCCTCAGCCACGTGGATTCCTAACCTCCATGTGTGTGCATGTGTGGGGGTTGTGTCACTGCCTTTCGGCTGTATAGTTCATCTTGTAGCTTTTATTGATTCAATGAAGTCCTTAAGGAACTGTGCTGTTCTTTGCAGCAGTCTGATGAAGATGTGGCTTAGCTGCTGCTTGTTTTAGTCACCTAATCTAACAACAATTACTGAAAAGCCATGTTAGAATATTGATGGTTCTTATGAAATGAGTGGTGAGCCTATAGCACATGCCATTTTATGCCAACTTGGGATAGCTTATATCAAAAATGTATAGAAACCCATACTTACAGATAAAGGGCATTTGCATAAGACTACTATTTCATTGGAGTTTTCAAAAGGCTCTTTTTTTTTCAACACATTTGGATGCCTTTTTTACCTAAAGAGAAATTTTTACTTTTTACATGATAAACAGCGGTGGAAATGTCCTCAAAAGTTCACACTCAGCCCCACAGGGGGCAAAGATCTGCTGTTTGCTGGGAACTATCTGATGTGATCTACTTTCCTTTGTTCCCTGGGCATGATTTTTTTTTCGCTTGTTCCCTGGAGCTGCAGAGCCCTGGATGTTGGATTTTGTGCATTCTGGTACAAAGTCCCCATGTCAGAAGGAGGATGTTGTCCAGCCATCCTCCTGTCGCTGCCCACTCTCTGCTGAAGGCAGGGTAGAATGCATAAACCTCTTAACATTCAGCCGTGCCATTGACTGTAGCTGCCTGCACGATACTCTCTGCTCACTTGTGGAGTGCCCTGGCTTTCCTCCAGCATCAGGAAAAGTGTGGCACGTTGCTTTTTTCATAGGCTGAGACTCAGCTCTCCCAGCCCCCAGACTAGCCATGGGACATCGTCACACAGAGCTTGAGAATGGAAAGCTTTACCTGTTGTATTTAGCCTTCTGTTTGCTCACAGAGGCACGCGTAAGCCAGAAGCATTGCAAATTGTTCAAAATGCTGATTTTGAGGGAAATTGTTTTACTGATTAAACATAATGATGTGCTGGTATATTACAGCAGTAGGTTTATATGTACGTGGATGTATTGCTGGCTGGTAGAAGGCTTTGTAGAGGAAACCGTTCTCTTCCTTGTGCTGTGATCTAACATCTCCCTGCACACAGAGATCTAGACCAGCATATGTTTGGGATGATGCCTGCCAGAAAATGTGCTTTAATTAGTTAAAAATAATCAAATACAACAATGTATTTTATTTTAATCTGTCTTTAAAACTGAAATAGCTAATTAACAGTCCTGTAGGTTTACATTATAAAGCTGTAAATGTTTTACCAGAATACCTAGACTCTCAGGACAACCGAGGTAGTTGTAAATGAGCCAGCGTAATAAAAACTCTCTCTCTTTGTGGTATATGTATAGGTTTCACATATTCTTCCTTGTCGTGTGAGGTTGCCTTTTTGAGTTCATTGCCTTTGTCTCTCCCACAGCTGCCTAACTCCTTGCAGGCACACACGCTCCCAGCCCTCCCCCAGACATCTGTTCTGCTTCTCGGTACCAGGTGCCGGAGTTTCAGCTTGTTGGGAAGAGGGGCAAAGACAAAATCCTGCAAAAAAATTAGACGGCAGTGATATTTTTAACGACATTTGCAGTGGAGTTTTATTTTTAACCTCTGTTTTTAAAAAGAACCCAAAGGGCATTAGCTAAAAACACGGAAATTTTTTCAGGTTTTATCTGGAAAAGGTCAGGCTTGGGTGGGGCTTGGTTTGTTGTCTGGGAAAAGGCTTTCCTCCACGGTTTTTCCCAAAGTGAGCATACTGCTGTAGCATCACAGCAGTAAAAGGCCACGGCAATTGTAAACCTGTATCTAGTCTGGCAGTGGAGCAGGTAGATGGGAGCTGCTCTGTGGTAGCGACTAATCAATTTGCTTTTAGGAAGGAGGAGTTTAAGTTGCTCTTTCTCCCTCTTTCTTTTCACCTCTCCTCCTGAAGCATGCCTGCCTCTTATTCTTGCACTCACCAGAGACACAGAAACTCTCTGTGGTCCTAAGTACTCCTGCAGAGACTTGAGTGAAAGCTCTGCAATTTCCAGTGTGTTTCCCAACAGCAAAAACATCAGGAGTGGCTTGGCCACTAGCAGGCTCAGGCTTCGCAGGCAAGAAGCATCGGCCATCAGAGGAGTGACTTTCTCGGATGGTCTTCGGATACACAGAGGGCAAAATGTGTAAACAAGGGAAAATTACAGTCAGCAGATTTAAGGCAGATGAAGTGGAGCACTTTTTTCCACACTAATAATTAATACCAGGTTGGAAGGGATTTCAAGGATCATCTGGTCCCACCTGTCTTGGCAAAAGCACGGTCTAGAAGAGATGGCCCAGCACCCTGTCCAGCTGAATCTTAAAAAGTGTCCAATGTTGGGGAACCCACCACTTCACTGGAAAGATTATTCCAATGGCTGATTTTTCCTCTCGTGACCAGTTGGTTATCTCTCCAGGAGTAACTTGTACCCGTTACACCTCCTCTTTTCCTCATCCTGTGTGAGACCAGAACTTCTGGAGACCAGATGTATGGATTCAGGAAGGGATTAGATGAGTTCATGGAGGAGTGGTCCACCAATGGCTATGGAAAATGCTGATCTGGATGCGGTCTCTCCTGAGTCGCTGATTGCTGGCAGCTCAGCAAGCCTATCAGGGATGATTCCATACATGTTTCTTGTGCTCTTTCTTCAAGCATTGGTGTTGACTGCTCTCACACATAGCGTGCTCAGCTAGGATGGGCTCTACTTTGATCTAGTATGTCAGTACTTAGTGGCTCTTAAGATGGAGCTTAATCAGTTGATGAAACAGTCAGCATGATACTACCTCCTGCATTTTTAGGGGAATGATCTCGTAGGTCCCTCCAGTAGTTTGGTCCCATGCCTGAGCAGTCACCACAAGGGGACAATAGCCTGCTGCCGCGTTGAGACATTGCTGTACACTCCGAGCCACAGAATGGCTGTCCCTAGGGGTGCTCATTAGCCAATGCCCAAGCTAGACAAATTTTTGGGAAGCTCCAAGATGTGAAGCTAATAGGATTGTCATTAATGAGAGGTGGTTACTGAGAGGCGAGATGTCTCTTTGAGGGTTTTATGTTCTATAAGATAGACCTGAAAAGGACAAAATCAAATAAGCCTCTGAGCCTTTTCTACTGTGGAATTTGCCTGCCCTTTGTAATATTCCTTCCCCCATTTTTGTTTGTACTGATAAATGTCCTTGCATTAATAAACTCATAGTGCATCTTGTTTATCCCTTCAAAGCCAGCCCTTGCAGCTTTTATTAGCATTTTAGGATATCTATGGCTTTGTAAATGACTGAAAATCTGCAATTTGTCATTAGGAATTAAGAAAAATCTTCCTTCTACTTGGGGCTGAATCTCAGCTTTGGCCTTTGAGGGACTGAGCCACCTCTGGGCCTGGTAGACAAAAACAAAGTCAGACAGTGCCCAGATTTACAGCAGCAAGTGGCTCTTAGTTACTCAGATGTCTTTGATAATGTGTCATCCACTGTTGCTGGTGGGGATCAGTGTTAGGCTCAGAATTAATTTCTCTCTAGCTGGAGAGAAAACAAAAATATCTATTCTGAAAAAAAAAAAGATAAAGAGATAATAACAGAGAGATAAATGAAAACAGCACCAGGCATATGTAAAAATGTATATATATATTGCATATACATACCGCAAAGGTTACCAGAGAGAAAGTGCTGTTCAGAAGAAAACGTCGTATTTCACTTTGTTGTGCTCTGTACTTTCGGTTTTGAAATGCAGGAAGTTAAGAGAATTTTTCAGGTTTCAAAAGGGAGATTATCTTGTAATTGGTGAAGGGCTAAAGAGTTGGTTGGGGAGGGATACTAATCAAAGGAGCCTTTTCAGTACTAAACAGTAGTCCAGAAAATCAAAGGGAGGAATGCTAATTGGTCTGTACAACATCATATTCTCAGTTCAGAGTAGCTTCAGCCACTCAATGGTACTTTTTCTTTTTTTCTCTCTCTGTCTTCATAGGTTGATTAAGTGAATAGAGAAAAAGAAAAAAGAAAGAAAAACGAAGCTGCTTTCAAGTATTGAAGAATCAAGGCCAGGATGAACACGAAGGACACAAAAGTGACTGAAGGAGGTCTCAATGTCACTCTTACCATACGCCTTCTCATGCATGGCAAGGTGAAGCATTTACTGTCGCTACGGCGGTTGCTTGCGTATTGGGCGAGCGTGTGCAGTTACCATCAGAGCCTGACAGTGGCAATGACGGAGGGTCTGCTCCTCCTCCTCTGATTTGAGCCAAAAGCACCATTGCCGTGACTGAAAAATCACCCCCTGCCTTTCAAGGCATCATACTTAAGTTTGCACTGCGGCCTGAGTTCATTGGAGCAAGCCCTGCTTGTAACGAACCCATTTTGAGCAGATCCAGTGGCAAAAAAAGAGTTCCTTATTGAAAGTTAGCCAAATTATGCAGCCCCTTGTGCCAGGCTGACCTGCGTACGGCTCGCTTTCCTCATCATTTGCTGGATTTTGCAGGGTTTTTTTAAGAGACCAGAATATTGACGTGTGTGAAATAACTGTCACAGAATTACTGTCTATTTCTGTTGAATGCAAATGGGACAGTTCTTCGTTATTCCGATGTAGCATCTAATATTAGAGCGAACCCCCTGGTACACCAAGCATTCATCCAAGTCCCTTCTGGGTTTGTTTTGGGAGGCTGACTGTCATTTCGTTTCTGTCCAGCACAGCACTTAAGCATGCAGATAAGTGTGAAATCTGCGCCATAGATAAAGTGCCAATTCAGTATTGTCAGACTTAACAGTCTGATAGCCGTTTATTTCACATTGCCAGATCACAAAATGGGCTTTTAATTAAAAAATACATTTCATAGGTTGGTTTGTATTATTTGCATCAGGCAACACCAGGCATTTTTAGGCTTAATGAATGTATGTTATGTAAAGAAGATGGTTAGATGGTTTGGGCTCTTTCTTAACAAGGGACAGTGAAAATATATATACATATATATATATAAAAAAATAAAATTCTGGAGATCAGATTTGTATACATAAATCTAAAAAGTAGGTTTACTCTTGGAATTTAATAGCTAAAAATACATTTACGTTTTAAAACAGTTCATGCTTTCAACCTATGACATGAACACACATATGGCATACCCATAGCACAAATAGGAGACTGAGGTATCTCTGTATTTTACAAATGGAGCTGCTAAGAAGTATAAGGGGGTACAGTTTAAGTTTGAAAATTAAAAAGCTCAGAAGTTGGGTTATGCCAGATCAAATTACATACTTTCTCAGAAATGATCCAACCGTTTTGTTTGATTTCCCTTCCGGCCCGAAATATTCAGCTTCAGTCAGGCATCTGGTGTGTAAAATGTGCACCTTAAATAGGGATCTTTCCAACAAATCTAATAACAGTCTCTCTTACCAAACTCACCTAAAATCTGTGTGCATGTCTGCACTGAAAATTAGGCCTTGGGGTTTTATTCTTTCAGGTTCTGGTCCCAATCCAAAAAAACATTTGAACACATCCTCATCCTGGTGGGTATAAGTAGCCCTACTGGTTTCAGTCAAATTCCCATGTGCTTAGGCGTGCCTTGCTCTGCTTCTTTCAGAGTCATGCCATTAAAGCAAAAATCCAGTATTCACCATTTTCAGGACATTCTAGTTAAACTATGGGTTAGGTTGGTTTTTTTTTTTTTGAAACAGAAGATATGTAATCAGAAATTAAATCAGAAAAAGCTAATTTTCTGTGTTAAACATTGATGACTCTGTGTACAGCCACTTTTAACAGTAATGGAAGTGATGTGCCCAATCTTCAATGCATATGTAGCCCCAAGGGTCTAAATTAAACCCTTAAAAGCTACAAAGTTCAAATTTTAAGTGGGAGTATACCAGGCATCCTCAGTTAACAAGGCACGATGGGTACACTGTTAGCTCTGCTATGTTCTAATCATGTATGCTATTGTGCCTAAGTGTCGCGAAGAGTACATTAAATCAGAATTTATTTTGGTGATAAAAGTCAGACCCTTATGGTTTCTTTGATGTCATTTCTGTAATTTAGAATTGCTAATATAGAGGAATGAAGGATGTTTGAGTCAGTATGAACTCAGTGTGAGCAGGTCATTCTGAAAGCTGCATGTGCCTCTGAAAAAGAAGAAACATGTTTCTAGGCTCTTCCTTAAGATCTGTTGTGGTAATGACATCAGTGGAGATTGCTGATCTCTAATTAACATTTCTAGACAAAACAGTTAACTGAAGCAGAGCTTGGGCTGTAAATAACTGGTCATAACTTGAAAGAGAAGAGGGGAATGAGAAGTTTGTTTTTAAAAATACCACTAGCAAACTGGGTTCAGTTAGGTAATTTTAGAGTAAGATCATTTATTAATGTGTTTCATGGAGATATGAGAGTCTATCCCCACCAACCTTAGCTCTGTCTAAACCTTTATTACCAGTGTACCTTTGCATGGGGAAGGTCTATGTGCTTTGTGATATTTGCATTCATTTTGATTGAAAGTCCGTAACTTGTGCTACTACGCTTAGTTACCTCGGCTGCAAATCCTGCAGAGTTAGGACATTTTCAGCATGTACTTTTCACATGATTTGTATAGGGGCTTTGAGTCAAGGATAGACATCTTGATTATGCATTTAAGCTAAATTCTGTGCCTGCAGACAGAAAAATCACAATTTGTGTGAATGGACAGACCCCTGCGAGAGGGCAGGGACTAAAAGAACACCCTTAACAACAGCAAACAAAACAAGTAGGCAAAAATCAAAACCAACATTAGTGTCTGGCGAAAGTAAAAGAGATGGGAACGGTCCTGAACTCCACGAGAACCCAGGGCCAGTGCCTCCCTGCAGGTAGGACACCTCTCATCAGCTCCTTTGCTCTGTCTTGCTCGGGGGAAGGGAGGGAGCGGCCGTAGGTCCAGCGGGGCGCCGGCAGGGCCTGGGGCAGGCGGCTGC